ACCAGATGGGATAAATGATCTGAAGGGAAAACTGAAAAAAACACAACTTCTTTCTTTTTTGATGGCTGTACAATAACCAGCATAAACTCTGCTGCTGCAGTGAGTTACTCATAACAGCTGACCTTAGGCAACATCTGTAGATCAGCAAATTACAATGAAACATGTGATATCACAGTTGCAAAACTGATTCATATTAGTTCATGATGTTCTTGGGAGTTTGTAAAAATAACAATTTTAAGGATTTTTTTCCATGTTTACATTTCATGTAATGTCAAAAAGTCTGTGAGTTTCTGTACATAAGAGAGTTCCATTCTAGAGGCTCAATATGTCTCTTGTTCCAACAGGTTCACAAGTAGGTTTGGTAAACCAACTGCATTTAACTTATAATTTTATCTTATACTAAGTTGACACAGGTCAGTCATTTTATACCCTGCCCTGAGTTGTACAAATAATAAAAAGGTGATATAAATCTAATAACCAAATGGACAAAGTCATGAAATCCTCAGCTCAAAGAAGAATAATTCTGCAGTCCACTTTAAGTTCCCAGATACAACAATCCAAATTAAGCTTCCAAAATTATAAGTAATAGGTCAGATAAAAATATTTATTTCAGAAATCTTGCAAATTTTACATCAATCTTGGTTTTTGAAAGGCTGACTGCCTAGCTCACTAGATCGCTGTAATTTTTCTTATCACAGGATTCGTATGTAAAAATGGAGCTTACTTTCTTAGTTCCTATATCACATCATACACAGTTTAACAGCAAAGACAATGGCTTTTGCCCATGCCAACCTACTAATAATTGGTGCAAAAAGCTTTTAGCATTGATGGAAGAGAATTTTATGCAATCTCAAGGGCTGTAGTGGATCATACATTGCTGCAGAACCCACATTTTACTTTTTTCCAGGAACAGATTTTTAACACTGTTATTCCTTATCACATTAATGTAACCTCTTTTGAAAAAAAAAGATTGTGAGTAATCAGCAATAATCTGAGAAAAACATTTTTATTAGATTTTTTTTATCCCATCTTAGGTTACTTTATAAGTAACTCAAGGTGGTGAACATAACTAACACTCCTTCCTCCTCCTCTTTTCCCCACAACAACATTATACTAATCATACTTCCAAAACAATGAATTCTACGAGATGGGTTGGAATGACAGAAAGTGACTGGCCCAAGGTTAGCCAGCTGTTTTTCTAGGTAACAAACAAAGAATAATACTTTTGTATATCTCCAGAAAATGTCAGTATCATAATTAGAAATCTGAAAATTTTGCTGGCAAAAGACCCTAATATAAATGAATTGAAAATAATTTGGAAATCCAGTTGTACAACCCAAGTGGATTCATATTTCATATTTATCTCAGCTATATAAAAAACAACTATTGCTATCATATAAGATCCAGCATGCTCCCCAAGGAAAAATGATGAAATATGTTCTTGTTCTCTCATTCTCGTTCTCTCTCTCTTCTCTTTCTCTCTCTCTCTGAATGTTGAAAAAGATTTTGATAAGAAGGCTATCATGTCTAAACTGCAAATGCCTTGACAACTACTTGATGGCATTAGAAAGTGGGTTTCTTAACTGATTTTCTGTTATCTAATAATTATCCCAGTTTATGCAACTCAGATATTGTAGGACTGGCACCAATACCCTAACTTTTAAATTAGAATTAGAATTCTTTATTGGACAAGTATGCTTGGACAAACAAGGAATTTGTCTTGGTGCAAATGCCCTCAGTATACATAAAAGAAAAGATATGTTTGTCAAGAGTCAAGAATCGTCAGGTACAACACTTAATAATAGTCATAGGGTACAATAAGCAATCAAATCATACTAGGAAACAGTCAATATAAATCGTAAGGATACAAGTGACAAAGTTACAGTCATAGAGTCACTAGTGGGAGGGGATGGGTAATAAGGAGTGATGACAAGATTAATAGCAATAGTAGTGCAGACTTTGTACATAGTTGGACTTATGAATGAAACCAAAGAATGAGCACACTGGATCAGGCCCATATTTACATCTTTTTCCCCTCTTTCAATCTTCTACCATTATAATGGCTACGTAGGATGAGAAAATCACTATCCTTCTATATTAGGATATTTCCATATTGGAAATATTGTACTAACTGGATCCTTTCTAATCACTAAGTAATTCAGATGCCATGGCAACCAGTTTCTTTTTTCCTGCAGAAAACTCTGGGTTTTCATAAGCTATTTTCATATAATATACCATGTAGCATGAACCATGTTATACCACCACAACCAGAACCATCTGCGTAGCAAGATTTACGAATAAGCATGTTGGAAAAACTAAAACAACTCAGCTCATTCATTTGTTTGTTAGATGTACATTTCATCTTTCCTTGGAGAAGTCAAGGCAAGGCTTGTAAAACTTCCTCTTCCAGATACCTTGATTAGATTCCTTCACTAGGAATAGATGTGACATGCTTTCCTGGAGCCAGATTTTTGACAAAAGGAAGCTGCCAAAGCACAGAAAAGAGAAGGGTAAGATTGCACTTTTGTTATCATTCCAAGGTGATCATGCACACAACCATCCCCCTCCTTCCTTATTAAACAGTGACCCAGAAGCTTAACACCACCTCTATTATCTGCTGTTCAAATAATCATTTTTTGATTGCAGCAACAATACAGTGCTAAAGGCAAAGCCAAGGGGAGAGATTCACACAACACAACTAATCTTGTTTTCATCAATAAACCACAATTAAGCAAACATGAGGCCATATATAGGTAGTCCTCAACCTAAGACCCCAGTTGAGCCCAAAATTTATATTGTTAAGTGAAACATTTAAGTGAGTGTTGCTCCATTTTATGACCATGCTACAGTTGGTAAGTGAATCACTGCTGTTGACAGGTTAGTAATATGGTTGTTAAGTGAATCTAGTTTCCCCATTGATTTTGCTTTGTCAGAAGGTTGCAAAAGGGGAATCACATGACCTTGCAACACAGCAATGGTCATGAGTCAGTTTGCCAAGCATTTGAATTTTGATCACGTGATCATGGGGCTGCTACAAAGTTGTTGAAAAACTGTTATAAGTCACTTTTTTCAGTGCTATTGTAACTTTGAAAAGTCACTAAAACTGTTTTAAGTCAAGGACTAGATATAATGTGCGACTAAGTAAGCATGCAAACAAGATCAGGCATATATAGCATATTTGTTGTGTTAGGCCTGATTCAGAGGTGGTATTCAGCAGGTTCTGATCAGTTCTGGAGAACCAGTAGCGGAAATTTTGAGTAGTTTGGAGACCCGACAAATCCCACCTCTGACTGGAGATTTTACAGTATCTTTCCTCTGCCACGTCCACCAAGCCACGCCCACAGAACCAGTAGTAAAAAAAATTGAATCCCACCATTGGCCTGATTGCAGTCCTGCTCACTGTTATGTTAATAAACTGGTGCACACATTTAATCACATCAGTTGGCAAGTGTATCACATTAAGCTTTAAAACATCTCTTTAGCAACAGCAAGAAAAGTTAGAAATATAAACAATCCTGTAAATAGACACTATTATTAAACTGGGGGTGCCAAACATCCGCAGGCTGTATGCATCACGTGCTAGCCGGGCTCACTCGTTTTAGCGAAGGGGGAAAGTCATGATACGTCACATGACGACATGATGATGCGAGTTTGACATCCCTGATTTAAACAACCAAAGGAGGAAAGGAAAAATTTGTGGCCTATCAGATACTGTGGAATTATAACTAGGCTGTGTTTATACATAATCGGCTTAGCAAGTATTTATTGAATAAATCACAATTAGCTGGGTTTTGCAACATGCTAAACTGTTAAGCATAATTTACAAATCACAATGGCTGAGTTCATACAACATTCTAAGCCACAACAGAAAGACTCTATTGTGCCTTAATCCAGTCTTAGTCTCCTGCAACACTGCTGTGCTGGCTGGAAATTTAGGGATGTCAATTCAGTTGAAACACACTATACTAATAATTTTCTATGCTAATAATTTGTCTAAAACAGTATTTTTATTGATCCATCTGTTGATGAAATTAGGGAAGTCAAAACTACAACAAATAGATAAAACGGTAAGGTAAGGATTTCCTCATTACATTGTGGCAGCTGCAAATGAAACTACAGAACAGTGGAGTAAAATTCTACGTTTAATCTACTCTAGGGAACATAAGTAATTCTCTTCCTCTCTTGCACCTTCTCAGTTAAAACAGCCAAATAACTGGGACTCTAGAAACTGAGCCAAACTTATCAACTATCAAGATTTGTAACTCCCTGGGCATCTGAATTAGGGTTCTGTTCTCATTGCAGCACATGACCTCTCTATGTCTGGCTTTGTATGATATATGCAAGCAGAAAGCAGAAACCATATTTTAACCCACTTATTTTTGGCTGTGGTTGTATTTCAAAATATTCATTAAATTAACCCTGGAAAGTTAACCATGTTACTCAAGTCCTACAAGCACACCGGAGCTCCTAAAAATAAGGGGGGGGGGAACCTAGGCTAAGGGTAAGGCTGCCTTCTGGATGGGGTCGACTCCCAGCATTTGTTTGGAAATTAAATCGGGCCTTGGGCAGCAAATGGGTGAGCAAAGGCATATCATTTGCCTGGTGACTTCTTAAAGAATTTGAACAACACTGCCAACTCTTTTCTGCCCGCCTCCGCGGTTTAAAGGGAAAAAACCCCAAATGCAGCTGGCGAAAGCGCGACAGTCTGCGGCTGAGAGTCCCCCAAGCGCCCAGCCAGCAAAGTCGCATAGGTCGGGCTTTGCTTTGGCTCCGTGCCTGAGAGTTGCAGCCTCGCGGACCAGGAGATTCGCTTAGGGGACAAGTGCGACTTTCGACCACCGGAGTTTCTAATCAGACTTCCCAATGAATCTCAAGCGCGGTCCACGAAAACAAGTTTGCGAGCCATTTGCCAAAACTTCACTTCCTCTTCTCTCTGCCCGCTGCAAAACTCTCTACAGGCTAATCTTGTCTCCAGCCTCGCGTCATCGGTGGGCGGACTTTTGAGCCACCCTCCTACTCTACTCATGAGGAGCTGCGGGGTGGGGTGTGGGGAAGAAAGGTCCCAACAAAGAAAGAGCGTGTTTGGAGGAGCTGGTAGGAGGTAGGATCCTGCCTCAAACTTTCGGTTAAGTTTCCTTTGGTTTCGTTCCGATTCGGATTTTTCCCGATCGTTTTCGGGAGCGGAGGCGCTGTTCCGAACTTTCCCGGAGGATCAAGCCTTTTTTTGCACAAGCTGGCAGAAAAACTTCAAATCCGGCAGAAGCAACGCCAGTAAGTAATTTTTGCCTGGCTCTCCTCGAGCCAGGTCTATGTAAGCCTGAGACGGTGGGTTAGATGTGGCGGAAAACATCGCTGCAGAGGAGATGGCAGCCGAGCTAGACAGATGCCGAGGCAGATGGGCGCTGAGGCTTTAAACGTCCAAACCGAACCCGGACATCTGGCGAATCGCGAGGTGTCCCGGCCTGGCAAGGGTCGTAGCAAAAAAAAGTAGCTTTTAAATTCTTCGCGCGCACCTGCAGATCGGATTTTTGGCAGAAAGATAACAAGGTGCAAAGTGTTGGGCCGTGGAGGAAAAAAAGTAGTTGCTGAAGCCGCCGGCATAAAATAAACACTCATTTTGAAACTATGCATCTGAGAGAAAGGGAAATCTGTTACGATTCACTAAATAATGACTTGTATTAGGCTTGGTTGGACTGTTCGTCTTTGGAGCCAAGTCTAATATGGACAGCTTGGGAGAAACACGCTAAGAAAAAAAAAAGAAATTTGAATGATCTCATCTTATTCTTTGCTTACAGAATGGGCTAGGCTTAGAATAGATATTCCGCTTAGAAATAGAGACGTGCAGTTGGAAAGAAAATGTTTTAATTTGTTTATAACAAATTTGTTATAACACAATTCTCTTTTATGTAGTTTAATAGTTTATAACATAATTCTGTACAGCTTTTAGTAAAGGAAAGTCCTGTTTGAGTTCAAAAGAAAATCCTTACAGTTTACTGAACCTGCTTCCAGATAAGCAGATTCACTTGATTTCAAATACTTGCTGAGCATGTAGACACCTACAAACCTGTGCTATAACCAGGTTAAACTTTTGGAGTGGCTTAGTGCCAGGTACAGTCATCCTGATAGGGCTGTAGCTTCAGTTTGGCATGGCTGTGAAAAATTTGGTAGCAGGATTGGCAAAAACAAATCTGGTCACAAAACGTTAGTTGTTTCACTTCGCATGTTTCATTGCAAAAGATTGTCAAATGGCAATGGGGGTGGGGAGGGTTCATTTGGTTTGTATTTTATTTTCACTTTGTCCTTCTTGAGCCAGTGCACAAACTGAAATATAGTTTAAGCATTTCCCAGCTTATCAACATTTTTCTGAATTTTAAATACACACAGTTTGCACACATTAGGGGGAAATGAACAAAAAAATTAAAATACAATAGGGAAACTTGCGTGCAGAAATAGGACTGTATTTAAAATGGGCATAAATATATATATATATTTGAACTCCACTATAATGGGCAATTCTTCATAGACATAACCATTTAGATTACAGATAACAGATAATCAGAGTTGGAAGGGACCTTGTAGGTCATCTAGTTCAGCACAAGCGGGAGACCCTACACCATTTCTGACAATGGCAGTCCAATCTCTTCTTGAAAGTCTCAACTGATGGCGTTCCCACAACTTCTGAGGACAAGCTGTTCCATTGGTTGATTGTTCTCACTGTCAGAAAGTTTCTCCTTATTTCCAGGTTAACTCTCTCCTTGTTCAGTTTCCATCCATTATGCCTTGTCTGGTCTTGGTGTTTGTTTAGGCACTACTACTATGATGCACCATCTAATAATAACCCTCTGAAGTAGTTTTGTTTTTACCTCCTGAAGAAGTGTCCCAAAGATGCTTTTTCAAGAGGCAACTGGACTTTCTTGGCTTTTTTTTTTTTTTTTTTGAAGACGTTTCGCTTCTCATCCAAGAAACTTCAAATTCGGCAGCTTCTTGGGATGAGAAATGAAATATCTTCAAAAAAACCCAAGGAAGTTCAGTTGCCTCTTGAAAAAGTACTTTTGGAGCAACCATGACCTGGATCTCAATAAACACTCCTGAAGAAGTGCATGTAAGATGGCTATTGTGTAAAGATACCTTTGCCTCAAGTGGCATAGCAAGCATTCATTAATCCCGGAAGAGTAGGAAAAAGCAGGCACAAGCTAAATCACAAAGAGTATAAAAGTTATTTTATAAAAGTTATTTGTGCCATGGGCAATCAACTATTGTGCATTGTATCATTTGAGTCTATACTACAGATTCTAATCCATGTCTGAATTTTTTTTGTCAAGTCAAGGAATTAAACTAAATAGTGTTAGGAGATTTGTGATTTAATCACTGAGTCTAATCCAGGGAAGCCAGTTATCTGGAGCTCTTAGGTAGCTTAGAAATTGCTTATCTTGCTTCTTTCCAGAATGGTTCAAGCCTGAATTTGACATGTCACCCTAATTGATTAGGTTATCATGGGGAAAAGATAAGGGAGCAAAACCCTGTTGGCATGATTCTGTCAGGGAGTTGAAAGTTATGGTGGTTTTATTTCTCTGGGTGCTATCAGACCATTTTGGGAAATTTCCTGGGGGGGCCCTTCAAGGCCTCTCATATTATTTAACATATAACCCATGTTAACCCAGAGGTTTGGAGCTATCATAAATGTGGCAATACTTAGCTATATTCCTTTCATGTGCTTTCATGGCTCGATGTTTCCAGAATCTCCACATGTCCAGGCTGTAAGGGACTGGGTAAATAGTTAACCAAAGCTGAATTCAAACAGTATCAATAATACATAGACCTTCTGTCGAGGTTGCATTGCCTTTTACAGAGCATACAATATTCACAGTATGGTGTCCTCTTGGATCCAAAAATGACACTGGGCAATCATTTAACGTTAGTGGCAAAGATACACATGTAATACAGGATAACTACAAATCTGTGATGAGATTGACTTGAAAAAATCAGAGGTCTCCTTTCATGAAAGAGATGGACTAAGTTTGGTGATTCATACAATGGTAACCTGAGGGCTGTACAGTAATATGTGTAAGGTAAGGTAACCTTTGAAGATGTCTAAAATTGGAATTGGCCCATCAAATTAGAAGCAGAATACAACTGAATTTGATAGATTCCTATTTCCGGCCAGATTGCTGTGCTTTTTTTAAAAAAAAGTTTTACTGTTTTTTTAAGACAAACATGAACAAACACAACATAAAAACATCAAACCATCTTCCAAATATGTATATACAGTGTGTCGGTTGGTTTACAAATTATTTTGTGCTTCCACTTCGTAGTATTCAATTAGAATTACATTGTATATGTTCTCATATTGTCAATCAAATATTCCTAAATACATTAATATAATTGTTAATCAATCATTTGACTATACTATTATTCATTCAAGTTTTACAAAATAATCCATATTTTACTTAATTTATTTTATGACAGTTCATATTTCCATCTCAAATCTATCCTATAATCATTTTGTAAATATAATAAAAAAAAGCTTTGTATATTCATTATGTTCTAAAAATCTACATATTTCATTACCATTTTTTAATTGTCTAACCATTGATAGAATAGATCCCAAATTTTATAAAATTATTTATCTTCTTGTTCTCTGATTTCAAATCTCAATCTACTCATTTCAGCACATTCCATTATTTTCTTGATAACTTCCTCCTGTTTTGGTATTTTCTCATTTTTCCAGTTTTTAGAAAATACAATCCTAGCCACTGTTAATACATTTACAATCAGATATTTCAATTCTTTACTATATATTTCAGGTAAAATTCCCAATAAAAATATCTCTGGTTTCAAGTCTATATGCGTTTTTGTCATTTTTTCCAACCATGTGTGGATTTTAGTCCAATATTTTTTGGCATCCACACATGTCCACCATATATGGTAATATGAGCCAGGTATCTGATGACATTTACAACATTTTTCAGACTTGTTCTTGAACATTCTTGCTATTCTTGTTGGGGAAAAATGCCACCTGTAAAACATCTGATACAAATTTTCTTTATATGCTGTTGGCATTATCATTTTATAATTTTGAGACCACAATTTTTGCCATTTCTCTAGATCAATCCCATATCCGAAATTCTTCCCCCAAGCAATCATAGTTTCTTTAACTTGTTCTTCTTCTAGTTTAATTTCCAAGAAATATCCATACAGTTTTTTAATCACCTTTTCATCAGTACCTGTCAAAATCTTATCTAAATCTGTCAGTTTATCATAGAAACCTTCTGTTTTAGAGTCTTTGTCATACCTTGAATGTATTTGCGCATATGAAAACAAATTCATCTTTATACCTTGTTCCTCTAATTTTTGCATAGATTCAAGTTCACCCTTTTCATTCAATATTTCACCGTATCTGTTTGTTCCTTTTTATATATTATAGGATAAGAAAATGCTTCAATAGTCGATAGCCAGACCGGAATTTTCAAATAACATTGTCTTTTAGTCTTCTCCCAATTTAACCACAGAGACTCCCATATATAATGTCTTCTAAAATACCCCTGTGTTTTAGTTCCTTTATACCATAAAAAAGCATGCCACCCCAACAACAGATCATGTCCTTCTAGTGTCAACAATCTAGCATTTCTTAATGTTATCCAGCCCTTGAGCCACATCAAATTTGTAGCTTGGTAGTACAACTCCCAATTAGGCAAACCAAATCCTCCCCTTATTCTAGCAACTTGCAAAAATTTTAATTTTATTCTCGCTTTCTTACCTTGCCATATATATTTCAACACAATTTTATTTAAATCTTCAAAATAGTCTTTTCCCAGCCTAATTGGAATTGTTTGGAACAAATATAAAATTCTGGGTAATATATTCATCTTGATTGTTGATATTCTTCCTATTAATGACAATTGTAAATTTTCCCATTTCGCCAAATCTAGCGCTATCTGCTGCTTAAGTTTAATATAGTTATTCTCTTTTAGTGTACTACATCTTGCTGTCAAATGTATCCCCCAATACTTGATCTTATTTGTGACCTGGATTTTCAATACATCCGCCAATTATTTCTTTTGTCTTAATAACATATCCTTTGTCAAAATCTTTGTTTTGTTTTTATTTATTTTCAAACCAGCTACAGATTGCTGTACTTTTGTTAGTTAACTATTTAACTGTTCATATAGTTAAAATATGAAAATTATTGCCTGCGTTTATTTTTTTCTTCTTTACTTCCTCTTTTACCACTTTAGGTGTCAAGGGAGACACAGAGTTCTGGTTCTTGAACTTCTGGTGGGCTCCACCATTATTATTTGAAGTTGCAGAATATATTAGATATTGTCTCTCCCATCTTCTGCCTTTGTCTTAATGCTTCATGTTCTTTGTCCTTCTCTTTTTTTATATGACTTGTATAGATGCCCAAGAATATCAACTCATTCTCTCCACGTGAGCAAACATTTAACTTGCTGTTTTAATATGTAATTTAAAGTTGCTCCTATTCCTATGTTTATTTATTCGTTATTATTATTTGAGATAATTTACTGGATAGTATTTGAGATTCATTCCTAATATTTGGCTTTGATCAATACTGTATTTATTATTTAGTGTTATATGTTAGGTCTATGCTAAGCTTCATAGGGTTTTTCGATTTAAAGAAAATTCAGTCAAGTTACTGTGTTGCAGCAGATCAATAAACTTACGTTTTTACTTACCAAAATAGTTTTTGCATAAATTCTCTTCAGCTGCTTCTCTACTACTTCAAACATATGCTGTGTATATGTAACAGGTGCAGAAGAAACTTGCCTTGATGTAAAGCAAGCCAGGGAGAATTAAATCCACCTTGATATTTATAAAGTAGATCATCTTCCCTCTATGCTTCACAGTACATCCTAAAATGGATTAGATCAATTTTATGCATGTATATTAGGTGTACTTTGTTCTGCAGGTTGCCTTGAGAGTATTTATGACTTTAAAGATGGGTTAAAATTGCTGTGGTTTGTCTAGCATTACTTTCAGATCAGGATCTATATGTGGTTTCCCTATAACAAGTGTGGATCTCTGTGCGGTTCCATCTCTGGTGATTAGACTAGAATCAGCACAGGATTGAGTAGTTTTAACTTGGTTAAAAAAGAAATTAACGAGGCTCACTTTGAAATATGACCACACTTTTAAAAAATTGCATGGACAATGGTGAATGTACAGTATCCATTGTCTTCTAAGACAGGGGTCTCCAACCTTGGCAACTTTAAGATTTGTGGACTTCAACTCTCAACTTTGTGGAGTTGAAATCGACAAGTCTTAAAGTTGCCAAGGTTAGAGACCCCTGTTCTAAGAGCTCTGTAAAGTTCTAATCCTGAAGGTGAGGTGGCTAGTGAAAAAAGACGATGTTCTGGATGGTCAGCTGCTAGCAAGAACTGCCTTGAGTTTTCTCTTTATTGTTATTATTTGTAGCACAATTTAAGTAGTATTTATTAAATTATTTTTATATAATAAATGTTGTGGAGGTGTTGATGAACAATTTGAAACATCATGAAGGGATTGGTGAGCTGAAGAGTTTGGGGATTGCTGCTTAAAGCATACATTGGGGAAATCTTGCAAAATTCCAAGCAGGTTAATGAAATACACCATTGCTTCAGTTTTAAACCTGACGTATACAACCATATCCAAGGAGATAATAAAATGAATAAACATAAACGTATGCAGTCAATTTAATTATATCTGCTGCATAACAAATTCATTTTCTCATTGTGTTGCATATTTAAAAGCCTGCCTCTTTAATTTTCTTTAGTTTACACCATTTGAACCATTGGGAATATTAATCTAAGCTAAATATATTTCCCATGGTTTGTAGTACTATTTTTTTTTCTTGACCTGTTTTTGGGGGTCTAAAATAAAGGTTCAAGAGCTATGAATAGAATTATCAAGAAGGAAAGAATGTTGATTCATTTCAGTTGTGTGTCTAGTTGTTTGTTACAGCTTAAATTATAGTCGATTGTGTGGGAGGAGACAGATTTCACAAGGATAGGAAAACCTTGTGCTTGTCACACAATTTTGAGAAGCATAATAGCTTTACTTTAAAAAGAGATGGTAATCTTCCATAGAACTGGCTTTTAAGAACCAGCCCTTCAACCAAGGTGGTTGATGCCTTTTGGATTTAAACAGATTAGTGCTATGAATATCCAAAAAATAAGTAAGCGCGCGCTCACCAAACTGGTTGTTACACCGGTTGAATCCCACTACTGCTGCATATTCATTATTCATGAATCTATTTCTTTCAAAATCAGACATAAATGAGTCATATGTTTGTTTGGATGGCAAGTTCTACCATGAGATCTGGAAGTATAGTACTTTGATCTTCTGGGATCGTTCATTTTACATGGTGTTTGTTTTAATATAATGGATAAGAAGGCTTTATTTAAAATCAGAGTCATAGTCACTGTGTATCCTACTTAGAAATGTTATCCATGAATGCAGTCCTATTTGTCCCAAAGAGTTCTTCTGTGGAAATCTGGCTGTCAGTTTTGGAAGAACCTGGTCCATGGTCATCTCTACCTTGGTCAGGAGGATGGGGCACCAGCTCTGGTTATAGTTGGTGATGATCTGTGATCAAGCTTTATATGTTTTTTGTTACTTTCTCTTGGTCCTGGTAGATCTATGAGCTGTACAAGTAGTGCTTGATTTATGACCGCAATTGAGCCCAAAATTTCTATTGCTTAAGCAAGGCAATTGTTAAATGAGACTCATGCCGTTTTACAATCTTTTTTTGCCATGGATGTTAAGCAAATCGCTGCAGTTAAGTGAATCGTGGTCGTTAAACAAATCTGGCTTCTCCCATTGACTCTGCTAGTCAGAAGCTTCCTAGAAAAGTTGCAAATGAAAAACCCCAGGATTGGCAACCATCGTAAATACATAGCAGTTGCCAAGCACCCATATTTTGATCACGTGACTGGGGATACTATACTTCTCATAAATAACAGATAATCAGAGTTGGAAGGGACCTTGTAGTTCATCTAGTCTAACCCCCCGCCCAAGCGGGAGACCCTACACCATTTCTGACAAATGGCAGTCCTATCTCTTCTTGAAGGTCTCAAGTGATGGCGCTCCCACAACTTCCGAGGCCAACTTCTGTTCCATTGGTTGATTGTTCTCACTGTCAGAAAGTTTCTGCTTATTTCCAGGTTAAATCTCTCCTTGTTCAGTTTCCATCCATTATTCCTTGTCTGGCCTACAGGTGCTTTAGAAAATAGCTTGACCCCTTCCTCTCTGTGGCAGCACCTCAAATATTGGAACACTGGCTATCATGTCTCCCCTGGTCCTTCTCTTCACTAGACTAGCCAAGCCCAGTTCCTGTAACCGTTCTTCATATGCCTTAGTCTCCAGTCCCCTAATCATCCTGGTTGCTCTTCTCTGCACTTTTTCTAGAGTCTCAATATCCTTTTTATAATGTGGTGACCAAAACTGTATGTAGTACTCTAGGTGTGGTCTTACTAAGGCTTTATAGAGTGGTATTAGTACCTCACTTGATCTCGATTGTATCCCTCTGATAATGCAATTTAGGATTGCGATGTGAGAACCCAGTCATAAATCATTTTTTTCAATGCCATTCAGCCAGGTATTTAGGCATTGATCTACATATCAGATCATTCTCTAATAATGTGACTAGAGATAGGAGGCATACACATTTGAAATAACAACAACAACAATATTCCCGATCAGTCACAGTTGGATTAAAAATGGAAATTTAGAGACTATAACTCCATTCAGTATTGCACATCCTGTATATTGGATGCATTAGAGATTGCAGCTATGGTATGCATAAAACAAACTATGTTCTCTGATTTATTTTATTAGATAAAAACACTTAAGAATTCATAGGGATTTCTAAGGAAGGATATTCTTTATTAGGGCTACATAACATTGAACCCTGGATGAGGGCAATTTGATTAAAGTAAGCCCAAGAAGACAAGGGATTTTTATTATTTTTTAATTACAGAAGAAGTAATATATCCATGGAGAAAGCCTTGGTTAAACGACAATGTATGGTGCTATCTCCCACATGCAGCAGCATCAGTGGTAGGTTTGTTTAGAGCCCTTTGAGTGACAATCACCTCCTTGTCAGCTCTATATAAAAGGTGTCCCAAGTTCTTTCTCCTTTCATTGCTGCAGAAACTACAGCATAAATGTGGGAATTATTTGTAGGAAAGGCAGATGGAATCAAAGTTATGAAAGCATCTTATTATTTGTGTTCACATTTTTCTTTTTATTCAATACTCGAGGTTTTTTTTTAGTGCAGCTTAAATCATATAATAAAAATGAATCCAAACAATATAAGCCAGTATAAGCAGAGCAGTACAATCACAAATTCTCTGGTTCAAGCCATAATTAGCTGCTGATATTATTAAGCACGCAACAAAATAAAATCATTATTAATATTATTATTTGTTACATGCGTCTTATGGAGAGAAGGTAGATTACCTAGAAAGCAGTCCACTAAGGTGGACATTGCTGAATAGAATAACAGAGTTGGAAGGGACCTTGGAGGTCTTCTAGTCCAACCCCCTGCTCAAGCAGGAGACCCTATACCATTCCAGGAAGAGTTGGTCTATGAGGGGATCCTGCTCCAGATCAGGGGCTCAGTCTCCTGCCTGTTTGTTCCTCGTCATTCAGTAACTACATCACCAGCTATAAGCCATTTCATTTATTAGCAAAAATAACTTCTATTCAATTTAACATCCTCTCTGGGATTATACACTTTTGGGGGGCATGATATATAAGTGGGGAAACTTGCTATGACAGACATTGGTATATGCCCTATACATAATAAATAGCTTGAGATAAGGAGCAAATATATAGACTACTCTTGGAAGAAATATCCTTCTGGGTTCAGTTCCAAGTGGGGAAAAAAGACACTGGAAACATGGTGACTGCTTGGAAAGATGGTTTAATGGTAGACAGGATCACGTGCCTTGAGGGAAGAAAGAAGGCCAGAGATGCTGAGAGTGCCTGGGTTTTATACCCTCCGTTGCAATTTGAATTTGAGTTTGTATTCTGATTGGTTGTCAGTCTCCCATGGGGCCATGCAGGGGCAACTCTGTAGGCTGTTCTGAGTCCCAGGCTTGGTTGAGCCTTTCTGGATGATGAGGTAATGAAAGGGCTTTGGGCAATTCCTATTATAGCTTTACCTGGAGTAGATCTTTGTTATGTAAAATAGACTGACCTAGGTCAGAGTAATGTCCCATTAGCAAAGTGGGGGGAGGGTGAGTTTCTGCTTCTGAAGTGAATTCCTGCTTCTGAGTTTCTATTCTTTTTAGGGGAAATATTCTGCCTTTTTAATATTTCCTAGGATATTTCATTTTTCTAGGAGTGGAGTGAGTGCTAACTTCCTACACTACATAGCAATTGATGGCTATTTAGTAGGAAGAAGCCAACAATGAAGCAGACATTGGCTGTGAATACAAGGTGAATGGAACCATAAAGAATAATAGTTGAATGAGGTTAGAAAGAACATTTTGCATATTTTTTTAAAGTTGGCAGGTCATCTATCCTGACCCCACTTCATGTTTGAAGCATAGAAATAGCAATTGTCTCATTATATCAGTATGAGGATATTATCCAGGATCTTTCTGGGGGTATTTTGAAGTAGAGAAGTCCTTGTCATGAAATCTCAGTTGCTTTCCAGGCATAAGTATGAGCAAGAAATTCCCTCCTTACCTCTTTTTCTTTTTATCCCTTCCTAGCTGGCAGGATTTCAGCCACACTGCCCCTGACACTGCTTAGAAATGTGAGCTTGCCCAGCTAAATCTGTTCACCCACTCTTTGTGACAAACAGACATTAAATCCTATGCAGCATAATCCTTGGAGGAAAATTTATTAAGGGGTCTTATCCAAAACCAAACATTCTTTTTCTGCAGTAAAACTAAGTAAGTAAGTAAAACAATAAGATACCTGGGATTTAATGCTTACTGATGCTATGCTATATGTGATTTGAGATACAAAATAATAGTTTCTCTCCTCCTTTTTGCATTGTAGGTCCCATTCATGGGTCCAAATAAAAGAGTGGATTTGAAAATCATTATTATTGGAGCTTTGGGGTAAGCATATTTTAAAAATCTTTTTAAAGACGCATTTCTCTCTCTCATCCCGAACCCTCATTTTATTCTTATAATAAGTTTGTGAGATAAGTTAAGGAGACAGAAAATGAGAAAATGGAGACTGGCTGAATTATTTGAACTGGGACACATCCCTTTTGACTTTGGCTTTCTAGTGACTATCCCAGAAGTGTTTGCTTGTTTATGTAATTTTGATGGCTTCTCATTTTACAGCAGTGATTGTGGGTGACCTACAAAACTAGCAGTTGCAATGATACCCAACTGGAATAGTACACCCCAGTCATAAAACCATGCCAACAGCATAACTCATCTAATCTTCAGGGCAAGGGCAAGACAGCCAGGCTTCAGAGCCTTACAAGGAATAACAAGGTCTGGATCCTCTGGATCTCCAAAGGGATGTTGTTCCACACAAAAAGAATGACAAACTAACTTTAGCCTTAAAAAACAGAGATTCTTCAATATATTATAACAATTGGAATTGCTGGTATAAATGGTTAGATCAAAGATAGACCTTATATCATAAGGTAAAAAAGAGTGGGACAAACTTATATGAGTGTAATATAAACATATATATGAATAAGATGTGCGTATATGGTACAAAATAAGAAGAGAAAAGATCTTACAAACTGTCGAAAATGAGAATGTTTTTAAGTGTTCGTTTTTTCTTTCTTTTTCTTTCTTTCTCCTTTCTTTTTTGCTTTTCTTTCTTTTTTCTTTGCTCTTTTCTCATTTTTCTATTCATGTATGTGTTGTTGATTTGTTTTTAATTGTAAAATTAATAAAATTTGTTTAAAAAAAACAAAAACAAAAAGAATGACTCCAGTAAGATGACATTGTTGAATAGACGGGACCTGGAGCAGGCCCTCTCTAGTGGGATTGATGTAGAGCAGGAATGTCAAACACATGTCGTCACATTGTTGTCATGTGATGTGTCGGGACTTTTTTCCCCTTCACTAAACCAGGGTTGGGCATGGCCAGCACATGACGCCTCTGGACCGCGGGCCGTGAGTTTGATACCCCTGATGTAGAGAGTACTTAGTGGAGCAATGTAACGAGTAAGAAAAATGACTTGGACAGAGATATGCAAAATCCATTGCTAAGGCAACAAAGGATTAAATATATATTTAAGTCCACAGCAGGCAGATAGTATTATTTTATGATAATATGCTTCTGCAGCTCAGATGCTGCCTTATCCCTACTGCGAATAGGAGGAGGAGGTAGTACACAATCAGACTGTATCTATCCACTAGGCAGACCAGGCAAAGTAATCAAAGTCACAGGAAGGTTAAAACTACTTTTGCTTGTTGTAATAGAATCTTGCAAGTTTAAAATAAGTTGAGATAGTGGTGTAATTTTTTTCAACATTGGAAAGAGAAAAGAAATATTTCCATTAGAAATGAAAGTAGATTCACATACTGAATTATGTAAAGTTAGAATGGGAGAAGAGGAACTTTTGTGGATTTAAATTTCAGGCATTTGTAAGCAAAATGGAAAAAAACATGGAATTGCAGCTTGAATAAGCTACATAATATTCACTAGCAAATCTTTATTCATTATTTCTATCTTACAGTTCTGGCTATTTTTTTTTTACCTAAGGAAAGAGAATTCTTTTCTCTAAGGAAAGTAGAAGGAGTAAAATTTAAAGAATAGGCAGGTGGAGTTTAAAGACTCCATAGACTATTTGCTGGATAATCCTCATCCATAAATTCTCTGTTCCTTGTTATTGATGAATCATAAACATATATTTGGGGGAAATGTATATTTTTTTAAAAAAAATCCCCACATTTCTGAACTGCCCATTTCCCTAAGAGAGAAACTGCGTGGTTTACAATAGAATGTTAAAATACAATTATTTTTAATTAAATGATGCATATACTCTTAGAAAATGGAATTTCATGTCCATGAATACTTAAAATACTATTTCAGTTCTTGGAATTCCCTCTTTCTAAGATAATGTATAACAACTGTACAATAGTTTTTTTTTAAGGATTGATATGTGAAATGCAACTGACAGTATATCATAAAATGTTCAATTTCTTTTTTACAATAAACCCTAATATTTTTTTAAAAAAACCAGCATAAATAAAATCAAGGAAAATTATGGATGTGACAGATGATTTTTGTGATTCAATAAAGGTGCTCCTTAAGAAACCCTCCCTATCCGGATATATTAGTTTAGAAAAAAGTCCTTTGACATATAACCATTGTAGTTAACCTGTTTTAAAAACAAATTAAAGTACAAAGTACATGAATGTGCCATGGATTTATGATCAGTTACTCAGAAAGAAAATGGAATTTCTACTTGCTGACATTAAAAGAAATATTACACTACAGCTATCCACTTTTTGCTACTACTATCACCAGATTGAGTTAGCAATTTGTTAGTGATATGCTAGAGATCAGTTAAATAACAAAGCAGGAAAAATGAATGTTTGGGTTTTTTAAGTTGTCTGTAGTTACTACTGTACACTAGTTGCTATTTGCTTCCAAATAAACTATCCATAGGATTATTTTGTCAATTACATATCAATACGTGCAAATACAGGTGAAACTCAAAAAATTAGGATATCGTGCAAAAGTTCATTTATTTCAGTAATGCAACTTAAAAGGTGAAACTAATATATAAGATAGACTCATTACATACAAAGCAAGATAGTTCAAACTGTGATTTGTCGTAATTGAGATGTTTATGGCTTACAGCTCATGAAAACCCCAAATCCACAATCTCAGAAAATTAGAATATTACATGCAATCAATAAAACAGGGATTGTACATAGAACAATATTGGATTTCTGAAAAGTATAAGCATGCATATGTACTCAGTACTTGGTTTGGGCCCCTTTTGCAGCAATTACTGCCTCAATGCGGTGTGGCATAGAAGCTATCAGCCTGTGGCACTGCTGAGGTGTTATAGAAGACCAGGCTGCTTCAATAGCGGCCTTCAGCTCTTCTGCATTGTTCGGTCTCATGTCTCTCATCTTTCTCTTGGCAATGCCCCATAGATTCTCTGTAGGGTTCAGGTCAGGCAAGTTTGCTGGCCAATCAAGCACAGTAGTCCCACAGTCATTGAACCAGGTTTTGGTGCTTTTGGCAGTGTGGGCAGGTGCCAAGTCCTGCTGGAAAATGAAGTCAGCATCTCCATAAAACTCGTCTGCAGAAGGAAGCATGAAGTGCTCCAAAATCTCCTGGTAGATGGCTGCATTGACCCTGGACTTAATGAAGCACAGTGGACCAACACCAGCAGATGACATGGCTCCCCAAATCAACACAGACTGTGGAAACTTCACACTGGACTCCAAGCATCTTGCAGTGTGTGCCTCTCCATCATTCTTCCTCCAGACTCTGAGTCCTTGGTTTCCAAATGAGATGCAAAAGTTGCTCTCATCAGAAAAGAGGATTTTGGACCACTGAGCAACAGACCAGTTCTGTTTTTCTTTAGCCCAGGTATGACACTTCTGACGTTATTTGTTGTTCAGGAGTGACTTGACAAGAGGAATATGACATTTGAAACCTGTGTCCAGGATCCGTTTGTGTGTGAGGGCTCTTGATGCACTGACTCCAGCCTCAGTCCACTCCTTATGAAAGTCCTCAACACTTTTGAATGGCCTTTTCCTGACAATCCTGTCCAGGCTGCGGTCATCCCTGCTGCTTGTGCACCTTTTTCTTCCACACTTTTCCCTTCCACATAACTTTCTTCTGATGTGCTTTGATACAGCACTTTGGGAACATCCAACTTCTTTTGCAATTACCTTTTCAGGCTTTCCCTCCTTATGGAGGGTGTCAATGATGTTTTTCTGCACAACTGTCAGGTCAGCAGTCTTTCCCATGATTATGATTCCTACTGAACCAGACTGAGAGACCATTTAAAGGCTGAGGAACCCTTTGCAGGTATTATGGCTTAATTAGCTGATTAAAGTGGGACAATTTGAGCCTAGAGTATCGAACCTTTTCACAATATTCTAATTTTCTGAGATTGTGGATGTGGGGTTTTCATGAGTTGTATGCCATAATCATCTCAATTATGACACATCACGGCTTGAACTATCTTGCTTTGCATGTAATGAGTCTATCTCCTATATTAGGTTCACCTTTTAAGTTGCATTACTGAAATAAATGAACTTCTACATGATATTCTAATTTTTCGAGTTTCACCTATGTATCAGAAACGAATTAGATGGAATCATTTCTTTGAAATCAATATTTGAATCCTCAAATTCATTGTTGAGACTGGATGGCTACAATTTGAAATGAATTTTGAGTTATTCCCACAACCACCCCCCCAATAAACTGTTATGGGTAGTTTTTTTAATGTTTTCTAAACTGCTGTGAGTGTGTATTCATCTAGTGGTATATAAGTAGCAAAAAAAGAAAAATATTTGTTAGTAAGTACTGTATATTATTTATTTCTGAAGAAATGGTCACTAAAAGTCCACATAAACTTGCTGGTAGATAATCATCCCATTATAGTCTTAGTATATGGCTTTTCTTTTTCTTTTTCCCCCCACAAGAATCTTGTTGTGAGAGAGGGCTGAGGAAGTGATTGGCACCCAATAAACCTCTGTGTGAGATGGACTACAACAAGGCTCTCCCCATTTGTAGTCCAGCACTTTCGCCATTATGCCCCACCAGTTCTCATTGCACCATTTGCCATATCATGTTTTGAGCATCCATATTTTTCTTCTGAAGCTGGGAGAGTTGCAGGGAAAGAAAATTTGCTGTCCCTGATTGAGTTTATATTTATTTTAAAATGTTTGCATATTGATTAGGGATCTTCCACTGCCTATTCACTGTCTTGCAGATGAAGCAACTAGAATATGCCAGGGTAAATATATTAAATGGATGTTGTATAAGAAAATTTATACATTACAACAAGCAGATATCAGGGGACAAACCAAAGAATACAAATGGTGTTCTGGAGAATAAGAAAGTGCCTACTTGCAAAAATTACAATAAAGAGAGCCTGCTAAGTTTAAGAAGAGATCGCAGTCCAAATATATAATTAAAATGGCAACTCTAGGTGTTTTGATGGCCAGTACCAGTCAGATATGTTATAGTGAACATTTTCACTTACCCACAGCAGGTGAAGAATCTAATACTTGCTCTTCAGATCACAAATCCTGGATCATCAAACAAACAAACTGGAATGATAACACCATTAGTACATAACATGAAATGTCCAGACCATTCTGTTTTGGACATCAAGAAAGTTACATCTTCTATAAATTATATAAAAAAACCTAGTGAGGAGATGATCTCATGTTTGTTGCTTGCACAACAGATATAAAAGCAATGGACACAGGGTCTGAGACGAGACCATGCTAATCAACTAAATTTTATAAAGACTATAACTAAATAGTTCTAACATTTCTACAGACTTATTTTAGTATAGGCAATAACTGATTAAGATTAGGATTAGTCTTTGATTAGGATATTCTAATTTCATTAGTTCAAGTGAAACAGAACATGAATGGACAATCTTTAAAAAGTTTGAATCCAAACTTGCTGAAATGAAATTTGTGTATGTGTTTTTTCTTTCACCCCAGGGTAGGAAAAACCTCTCTTCTCCATCAGTATATTCACAAGAGATTTTATGAAGACTATCGCACCACTCTGGGAGCTAGTATTTTGTCCAAAGTTATGGAAGTAGACCACACACCACTGAAATTGCAGGTGACAGAAGTTTCAATGTCTCAGATTTCTTATTTCATGGTTAGCCAAATATTTATAGCTCAGTCAAATGTACTGTAAAGAAAGGACAGATATTGTGAAATATTTTCATATGTTTATATTACTGTTGACAGCAAATTTCCAAGAGAGACCAAAGCTTATGACATTATAGAAAGAAAATCATGTTAGTCTATGGTGGCAAAAAAATCAGGAGTCTGGTAACAGGCATCTAATGAAGTGAGCTGCAACTTTCACAATTACGTGCTTTTCAATAAAATTTGTTTGAAAAGGAACTATCAGATGCCTTCAGAGCTTAAGAATATTTGTAATTGCATCTGTCACTAAAATGCTGACTTTGTTAATGACTGTGTTTTCACATAGTCACCTTTAAAGCATTGGATGTTCCAATGGCATTTTGGTTTTCCTTTGAGAAGAGGAATCACTTTCCTATATGTCAGTGACCTATTGGGAGAAGAGGTGGGTGTTTAACAGCATAGCACAGTCTTTTGCTATCTGATTGTCTCAGTAGGCACCATTTTCTTGATATTTCTTAATTGATAACACCACATCAGAGGTCAATATTCATATTCCAAATAAATAATTAAACCTTAATTATTGTCATCCGTTAGAACTGAACCTGCTGCTCATTCATTCACACTCTGTTTTCTTTCCCTAAAATATGTGGCATGGCTTGTTCAGAAATTTCTTTCAATATCAAGCAAGGTCTTTGCCTGTGTTTTTCAGTGTGCCTTGCAGATAGCTCCATTTGACTGTCTTTTTTGCTTAATATTATAAAGGAAGGGTATCAAACTCAATTTCACTGAGGGCCGCATCAGGACTGTGGTTGACTTCGGGGGGCCGGGTGGGTATGGCCGACTGGGTGGGTGTGGCCATCTTGACACCACTCACTGGGTGTAGCCAACTGGGTAGACATGGCCAGCTTGATGCCACTCCACAAATTGCTGGCATGTTTCCTCTTCACACTGGGTAGACCAGGCTGAAGCCATGCTGGCGTAATGTTTCCTCTTTATACTGGGTAAACTGGGTCAAAGCTGCATTGGGTAGACCAGGCTGAAGCAATGCATGCTGGCCCCTTACATTTTCCAGGATGGCCCTGTGGATCGGATTTTGATACCCCTGTTATAAAGCAAAGCATCCACTTCTGGTACCCTTTGACTTTATATGAATGTCTTTTTTTTTTAATAATTTTATTTGGGTTTTCATAAAACATAATACAAGTAAAAAAAAAATTTTTTTTTGAGAATAGCATGGTCCTGGGTTATCACTTCTCCATACAGACACAATCTCAATTTCATATTCGTCTTTGTGTTCTATTCCATATCTCATTACTATTTTAACATTTTCTCAATAATTTTTCCCTTCCCTTAGTTTTGTCAACCTTGCTTTTAATTATCTCATTCCTTTCTAAATTCAGTTATATATATCTTTTTTCTAAGTTTCAATATCTTTCTAATCATTATATTTATGCTTAAATTTTTATAACACATTAGTAATAATTAAAGTGTTCTCCTTTCCTAATTTCATTCTCTCATTCTTATTTCATTTATTTATTAACAAACATTACATTACATTACAATAAGTATTTTATCTATCATTTTAATCACACTTGTTTCATATTTTCAAAGTTCATTTCTATTTCTAATATAACAATACTATCTTATGTACCTTTGCAGAATCCCCTTTTCAATTAAGTTTTCACCGATTGCCTCTGTGTCTTCTAAATAGGCTTATACCTTTAAACCTTGTATGTTTTCCCTGTTTCTCTATATCCTGTTTCTGTCCTTTATAATTTCTTTTCCTTTCCCTCTTCCACCTCTTCTTCTCCCTCCCCTTTTTGACCCCTTGTCTCTCTAATTCTGATTCTCTCTTCTGTAATCCTCTCTTCTGTTTCTTCCTAATGTTGTAATTACTTTTCAAACTATTCTTTTTTTTGGTTGTTTTTTCAGATCTTAAATTTTTCACTCTCTTTCCCCCCTTTCCTTTCTTTTCCCCACATAGAATTACTTGGTCATTGAAGATGGCATCTTCTTTGTCCCACCCTTCTTGTTTTATTATCCCTTTGACATTTTATTTTCAGCTTAAATGCCTGTTAACATCAAAGTGGATTTTAGCCGGTTTCTTGCTTAAATCTCTTAGTTGTCAATATGGGGCAGGAAAGAAAAAAACCCCAAATCCTTTCCCTTCCCTCTCTCATTCAGTGCTTCAAAGTCTTCTTTGGGAGCAATGATTCTTTATAATTCAAATTCCAGTGTACCTTATATTGTTGCTTTTTCAGTTTTACCCAGTCAGCCAAAACTTTCTCTTCTTATCTTCCTCCTGCACATTCTTTTCCAGTCGACTTCTTCTTTCAGGTGGCCATTTCTGACTACCGCTGCAACCGCCTTCAGGAAAGGGAGTAATGGCCAGCTGGGGAGGAGAGATGAGGTTCTCCTCAACCCTGCTGGCAGTCTCCCCCCTCTTCACCACCTCCAAGGGGTGGCTTAGCCCTGAAACCGGCCAGCTCGGGGCCCACCAGCAGCAAGCACAGATCGAAACCGCGCACGATTGCAGATTTCGGTCTGTCGCCGAAGAGACTCAAACTGGAAGTCCTATATGAATGTCTTTTAGACCCACAGTAGCCCCACTAGAATGGTTAAGAACATTCCAAGGGTTAGTTTGCATCCTGATATGTAGGGATTTTGAAAATATCACTCCTCATTATAAGATCCATTTTGTGAACAGGTAAATATATCCTGGTAGTCATTTAGTGAGTGCGCTTATCACATACTTCAGACTTCCAAATGTGGACCTCATATCCAAAAGTTTCCTATCTCTGCTGCAATGGTTACTGTACTGTACTGTACTGTATTGTACTGTACTGTTAATGCAGAAAAACTTATTATCAATTGTAGATAGAGGGATAAAATACAAATACAATTGAATTGAATTGTAGAATGGTAATGTTTTTGACACTGCAAATACTAATGCTTGTATGTTCCTCCTCCTTTAGATTTGGGACACTGGAGGCCAGGAACGGTTCCGGTCTATTGTGTCTACATTCTACAAAGGTTCAGATGGTTGCATGCTGGCTTTCGATGTCACAGATATGGATTCTTTTGAGGCCTTGGATGTTTGGAGGAAAGATTTTCTTCAGAAAGTCAACTCTACAGAGCAAGGCTTCCCAATGGTTGTTCTGGGAAACAAAATTGATCTGAAAGATCGACAAGTAAGAGCTGGAAGTAGAAATAGGGATGGAAGTCCAATCAGGATCTGAAAACAAATTTTCAGTTTGTTCTCAGATAATAAACATAAAGAAAAACTAACATTTTTGTAACACAAAGAATTATTTTCATCTTTAAAAGGTAAAGGTTCTCCTCGTATGTGCTAGTTGTTTCCAGCTCTAGGGGGCAGTGCTCATCTCCGTTTCAAAGCCGATGAGCTGACACTGTCCAAAGACATCTACATGGTCATGTGGCTAGCATGACTAAATGCCGAAGGCGCACGGAATGCTGTTACCTTCCCATCAAAGTGGTTCCTATTTTTCTACTTGCATTTCTACATGCTTTCGAACTGCTAGGTTGGCAGAAGCTGGGACAAGTAACAGGAGCTCACTCCGTTATGCGGCGCTAGGGATTCAAACTGCTGAGCTGCCAACCTTTCTGATCAACAAGCTCAGCATCTTAGCCACTGAGCCACCGAGTCCCTATTTGCATCTTTACCATGCTTCATATTATAGGACTTTCCCATTTCCAGCTATTAAATATTGGAACTAAACTGTGTTTGTACACAAGCCCTGCATTTCTGTGCAGTCCTTTTGTTAGATATTGACTCAAAATGGATAGGATCTTGTTGAGTGCTGAGTCTGGTCCCTGAATAATGCAAGAAATTTTGCAGTGGAGCTTCTATAGCAGATGATTGTCCAGCCCTTGGTTAAGTGCTTCAGGGAAAAAGATCTTCTGTATAAGTCTGAACCTACTAAAGTATAACTGTTTTTTAAGAAATTGTTCCTTATGTTTAAATGAAAAGTGCCCTTCTGCTAGATTGAGACCTGCATTAAAACAAATCTGCACATCATGCATTCCCTGTCCATTGGCTTATCTTCTCCAAGCAAAGCAAGCATGTGTTTCCATCTCTGATGTTTCAAATATATATTTGTTTAACCATTATATAAAGCTTTCCTAGTGTAGCTCAAGATAACTTTATTATTGTTTACATATTATATTATAATTTATTGCACACAACAAGGTATCATTTTAGTTTAGTTTAGCTTAGCTTTAGCTTAGTGGCCCCCAACCTTTTGGGCACCAGGGACTGGCTCTGTGAGAGAGAGGGTTTTCTGTGAATCAGAGAGGGCATGGTTTTGTATGCTGCCTGCATCCCGCAGATGGGGTTTTACTTTTTTGCGTGACCTGGTTGTTGGCATGTCACAGCCCGGTGCCAGTCTGTGGACTAGGGATTGGGGACCCCTGATTTGGCTGGTGTTGGCTTTCATATGCATCGAGTTCAAAGAACCTAGGATGTCGCAATGCATTGGCACACTGCAGATAGTCCTCAACTTACCACTACAATTGAGCCCAAAATTTCCATTGTTAAACAAACACTTGTTAAATGAATTTTGCCCCATTTTGCAAACTTTCTTGCCACAGTTGTTAAGTGAATCATTGCATTTGTTAAGTTAGTAATCCAATTATTAAGTAAATCTGGCTTCCCCATTGATGTTGCTTGTCAGAAAATTGCTAAAAGTGATCACGTGGCCTCAGGACATTGGAACAGTCATTAAGTATGAATTTTGATTATGTGACTATTGCTGCAATGATCCTAAGTGTGAAACGAAGTCATAAGTCACTTTTTTCAGTGCCATTGTAACTTCAATCACTAAATGCAAGGTTGTAAGTCAAGGACTAATTATCTATGCAGATCCAAGCAATTGACAGATGGAAATTCTGCCCATGAACAGATTTTCTAAGTGCCATCCAAGATTCATGATGTTACATTATATATTCAATATTATTTATTATTAATATTCCATTATTTGGGGATGACAAACATAAACAGCATTTGCATTGCATGGCATGGCATTCATTTCATTCATTCTTGAAAGAAACAACTTTCCATGTAATGTTATATTTAGACCAGCTAATCAAATGCCTTTTATTTTTAGGTGTCCAAAGAGGTGGCTTCATCCTGGTGCAAGGAGAAGGATGTAGCCTATTTTGAAGTTAGTGCCAAAAACGATATTAATGTGGTGCAGGCTTTTGAGACCTTGACAAGGCAAGCGCTATCAAGAGTAAGTGGCAAATTGCTTATAAGAAATAGAAAATGTGTTCTCTTTTGTACAGCAAAGACAGGCCTGCAATTCAGAATTAACAGTTCGTCCATGGTAGACTATAACCTTCAAAAGTATATGCCATATAACTACTGTATTCAATGATCTAATTTGCTTTCTTCCAACAAACTTCTGAAGATCACAAAAAGGGAGAGGTTTGGAAAGGGAAGACTGATATAACTACTAAACTCTCATGCCTTGGCAAATGCCATCCAAGATTAGTGAGACTGTCATTTAAATCATTAGCTAAAGGGAGATGTAATAGCTAAAATTAATTTTAAGCTGGCCTAAAGGTTGTACGTTGCTTTCCTTATCTCAGCAGTCCTCAACCTTTCCGTCTCTGCAGAACAGCAGCAGAGGGGGTGGTTTTGCATGCCCCCCACACACACACTGTTTGCACAAATGCAGCTTCATGCGCTTCCATGCTTGCCTGCCACTTGCACAGCCCAGTTCCTTACAGGATAAGGCCCAGCACCAGGACGTGAACCAGGGATTCAGGACCCCTTTCTTATCTCATACATTTTGTACTAACTGGCCCTATGAAAAGCTCTGTCAAACATGAAACTTTAGAGCATTTTAATGAAGATGTGGTTTGATTGTGGATTTTAGTTTCCTTTTTTCCCCACTCGTGACCAAGTAAACGCCATCTGTTTTGCCTAATGAAACATGATGGATGAAGAGATTCTGTTTCACCACAAGGTGTTGCTGTTTGCTCACATTGCCATATGCAGAAATGTAAAGATTTTCCTTCCACAGTCTGGTTCTTGGCTTTTTTCTTTGATGAATCACATAATTAGTGGATTTCATAAAAGCAGAAATCTATAACCAAAGTTACAGTGGGTAAGAAGGGTTTGATGCTCTCTGAACTATTTCCCTCCAAAACATGATAGCTTTGATTTTCCTGCAACTAATGATTTTGTATTATGTTAAACAATACATGTATTTTTGCCTTATGCTTACATTGAGCAGGAATGTTCCCGGACTCTTCCAAAATACAGGGGATAGCACTGAAAATTTTATCCATTTTTAAATATGTAATTTTTGATGCGTTGTTTTTTCTTCTTCCAAGCAGTACAAAGTTCCTGACTTTCAATCTTGCTTAAGAAGTTTAAGAAAGAGCTTTGAAATGAGAAAGAAATCTGCATTTGTGTGGTTCTATATTTCAGCAAAATGTATGGAAAATCAAAGTGACATAATGAAGAAGGCATAAAGCTTTTTTCCAATTGGAAGGCTCTTAACAACATTAAAACAATCCAATTAAAACACTTTGGACAACCATCTTTCTTTGCCTTAAAATAACCTTGCTCCTTGTAATAAGAAAAGGAAAATAAAGCAGCGCTAGAGCCAAAGTGAAAGCCATAAATTTAAAAAAAAAAGTTTTATAAATTCCATGAATGTACCAGGCAGTTGCACAATAAAATGCTCATCTGTCATTCCTCATATATCTATTTCTTAGGGGAGTTTTGTCTATACAGTTTTCAAATGATTGGCCAGGTAAATAAATGGTCTTATCCTGCAAAATGATTTTTTTAGATTTAAATTTTTAATTTAAATTTTTAATTTTAGATTTATGTTTTTAATTATTTATATTTTTCTCTTAGTATCAAGGGGTGATTGAGAACTACCTAACTGAATCTATAAAGCTCAGTCCGGAAGATCAGCCCACAACCAAATGTTGCTGACATCCCGCAAAATGATTTTTGGATACAGTCTGAAAGTTGGAACATGGAACAGCTGCTGCTACTGGGAATGCTGCCCATCAGGGTAAAAGATGAACTGATATAACAGTATTGCCCTCTGGCATCCCAGCAAAGATGGAACAGACTGCTGGTGGTTACTGACCACACAGACATTTAGGAATAAGCATCAAGTATTAGGAAAATGCTTACTGAGTTGAAAGATTTAAGACCTTACTGTATCAGTCAGATCCTTCTCACAGATGCCACTTTGAAATTCAGATCTATGTTCCAGAACTTTCCATGGAATGACCTGATCTCGTATTGAAATTGACTCCTAGATTTGGTCATGTTCTTTTGGTAAAAGTATAGTAGGTAAAATCTGGTCCAGCTTGAACTTTCTAGATATATAGCTTAATTCCTAGACAGCACATCTGAAGGTGCTAGAATGGGTTGGGGAAAGCTGATCTACATAGTTCAGGCACTGCTACTTCAATAATATACATATGTAGGTATACATAGGTATAGATATATGTCTCATTCCCACAAGTGTCATGTGAGGTATATTGAGTTGAGAAAGAGTAACTTGCTGAAGACCATTCAGTGTACTTCCATGGTAGAGAGATGACTAGAATCTGAACCTTGCATAGTCTAACATTCAACTCCACGCTCACATCCTAGTGTACAACTCGATTTCCCCTCTTGGGTCCTGCCCTTCAAAATGCAATGTTAACTTTGATTTTACAACAGAAATGCAAAACTTTTAATATTCTGTACAATATTAATATTACACAGAATTGGAAACTAATAGCACATAGATACATGATTCTTTTTGCATAGAAACAGAGGCTCTTGAGCCAAAAAATACTGTAAAACTATAAATGTAGACTCCATTTTTAGGGTCCTTGTTTTTTGTAGAAGATTAGTGCTTATTTTAAGCAGTTCTACAGATAATTTTTTTAAAAATTGGAAAGAAAAAGGAAAAATTGGAAAAGGGAATATAATAGAATCAATTTGTACATGAAAATATATAACAGAGGTTTGAAAAAGGGATTTCTTTTTTTAAAAAATTTAATGTGTAGTTCATTCTTATTATTGTTCAAAGATCCTGTTTTTTTACTGAAAAGAATTTCAGATATGAATTGTATTGAAGCCACTTTCAAAAAAGATGTTTTCACATTGAATCAATATGGAAATTTGAAGCATAAACAGGCCAATTATTGTCTGCCAGCCTGCTGTATGCTTTTATGTTGGATATACGGTACTTACCAGAAGGAAGAACTCAGGTACTGGGGAAAATATTTTCTTCCTGTAAGAGTTAATGATGCATATATATGGATCTAGGAACAGGGTAAACTAACACACAAGAGATATAGATCAGGTCAAGACTAGCTGATACAAATATCTGTTCTTTGCTCAAATAATGATTGAATGTATCACCTTCTTTTAAACTAAGAGAGAGACTAGTCTAATATTGAAAATATACAGCTCAGCCAGTGCAGACAACAACCGTAATAAAATTATTGTTAAGTTAATAAGGATTTCTATTGATTTCCATCTTCTAAAAGGACCACATGGAACCTGAACTGATATCTCATTGCAAATCAGAATGAATGGGGCAGGGAAATACGATCTCATGAATCTGTTCTGTAAATATTTTGTTGACTGTACTCCTTGAACACCTTGGCATTCAGGTTTGGCTGGTGAGGACGCAGCCAAATTCATTTTTGGACATTGTGCTGCCAACTCAATTAAAAGCGAATTTAATAAAAAGAGATGTGAAATTATTTACCTGGAAGAAAGAAATCAAATGCACAGTCATAGGATCAGTGCCTAGTAGTACTGTGCTGGAATCCATCTTAGAATTTTAATTGAGCATACAAATTGTATATGGATTGTGTGATTGTGCATATACATGAAGAGCATTGATACAGTCTCAAAATGTGTATTTTGGGATTACATTAATAACTCATAAGAGATGGCAGTTATTGTATTGAGTACAGTATTATAGATCTAATTGATCAAAAGGGGGGGAAATCTAACACTTATCAAGAGAAGGGTGAGTCCCACAGCAGGGCCGGATTATAGATTTTTTGTTTGGATTCCTGCATTGAGGAGAATTGGGAGCACATCTATATTTCTGGGAACCCAGATATACCCTGTCTATACCGAAGCACAAAGTATAGCTTTCTAGATCATCTAGGCATCTAGATAGCTACAAGTTGTTGGGCAGTTAAAGTACAGTCCAAAAATATGAACATGTAAAAACAGTTTTCCTTAAAAAGATTTTCCTAAACATTTTTAAAAAGTCAGTTGTGGGACAGCAGCTCATAAAAGTGATTCAAGCATATTTCTTTGCCCAGTACAATTATTATATGGAATGCTGCATATTCAGTTTAATTAACCAATTCACTTGTGTATTCAATATTTACTACAGAAGAAAAATCTAATCAAGGATGACTCCACAGTCAGTGTTAATTATATATAAGGTTTAAATTCACATAATAATATGGTTTGTTTAATTGTGACTTTTCTGAATCCAGCCATGGGTATTTATAATCTATGGTTTGTGTACCAAATGGCAACCTTCCTGAGATTCTGAATTTAGGTAGGTCAATAGTCACAATGACAGGATCATATTGAGTAAGGGGGCAGAACTGCAATTTACAATTCCCCCCCCCCCCGCTACTTTTTTTGTTGTTTAAATTTTAGATTTTTGTGTGTGTTGTGTGTTCTGCTTTAGAATATCGGAATCTTGTGACCTTTTCACTTTAATATGAATGTGACCATAGCTCAGGACTGCTAAGAGGAGATTCAGGATTCAATTTCGGTTTCAAGGTGCCATCCAAGATACAGACCTTAGTGTATTATACAAAACATGGCAGTTGGAGTTTATTTGGAGTTAATCATGGTTATTAGATCTAAGTCTCTATTTGGGGTGCAACTATCACTCTGGATAGCAAGATGGATGGCATATAAATTCAATCAATAAATAATAACTCAGCAAAAGTAAATCTGGTCGTTAAAACAGCAAAGATAGTGGATAGTGGATAGAATGACTAATATTTTCAACTCTCATTTGTTTGGTTTCTCAACTGCTTTTCTAGTCAGGGTCAGTTTAGGCAACTGAGTTTAAAACAGTATACATGCTGGATGGATATTTCTAGAATACATATACAATATAACACCAACCCTTACTTATCCCAACCACTAAATATCTACTTAAATACAAACATCTTGCATCACTTCTGGAAGGTCTCCAGTCTGCTCTTAAGTTTTATGGCAGGAAAGAGAATTTCTTTTCTCACAAGGCCCATATACCCAAATGAGTAAGAGAAACCATCCCTCTTCTGTTTCCCTCCTTTTCCCAACCAGTGGGATATAGACATGTCATTATTGTCCAAAACCTGAGCTAACACGCAAATCTGTTAATACATTTTAATTTCAGGCCCATGGGAAAAGGAAGGTAGGATTATACTTGAATGCCTTTATCAGAATTTGGCATTGGGGGTACAATCAGTAGCTTGAGAAAGAAGTCCCAAGTTGGATTGGATCTGTGAAGTGGGGTTGTAGAGATTTTACCAGCCCCGAGCCCTCTCATGTATACGGCAGTATAATAACAATCTTAAGGTGAACAATAGCTCACATCTTCATGGCTTAAGAGTCATGGTGGCACAGTGGTTAGAATGCAGTATTCAGCTCACTGCCAGGTCTTTGATCCTCACCATCTCAAGGTTGACTCAGCCTTCCATCCTTCTGAGATTGTAAAATGACCCAGATTGTTGGGGGAAATATGCTGATTCTGTAAAGTGCTTAGAGAGTAAAGCACTGTGAAGTGTTATGTGAGTCTAAGTACTGTTGCTCACCATCCAAAAAGGGGAAAAAAGGCAGGTATATAGTGTTTGGCTGTTAATAATGCAATTGTCCTTCCTATTTGGCATTTAGCCTTGTATTTTTTTAAAGACTTCCACAAAATATTGGCCTGCTATAACTACTAGTAACACTGTAATCCCATTTTTCTTAAATGTCTAGGACAGTGCTTCCCAAACCTTGATAAATTGCTCAAAATTGAATAAAAGTGTCATTGTTTCCCTTTGGGTAAGAGCACACAGACCCATCACCCAATCACAACAGGAACATGTACATTGACTTGAAAGTTTTTACGGTTGGGTAAAAGGTTTTTCTGATAAGCACTGTCTCTAATAAGCATTTTTCGTAGTGAAGGAAAATGTTTGGGAAGCACTGGTATAGGGTAAGAATGGTTGGAAGTTTTATGGATCCTACCACTCTTTATTTCATCAGGAAAAGTGGAAATACAGGGAGATGTAGACCCTCTGACCCCCAAATAAAATCATTTATGGTGGCAAGAAGTTTAGTGCTTTATGTGATTCCAAGTAACCAGTGTGAACTCTATAGAGAAAGGCTGTAGTAGCAACTTTAGTTCTGTTTTCTTACCTTGCAGCTTTTGGAGATGAGTTGACTTTGCATGCAAAGAAGCTCCAGATCTTTCCTAACGACCCTGGCGCCTATTACTCCCATTGAGTAATAATATTGGCTTTCCCTAATAAAACACTTTCCCATTTGTATCCCTTCCCCAATTTCTGCAGGTTTCTCAGATTCTAAGCTAATACATGCCTGATGGACCCAGATTTTACAGACAGGGATCCTTTCATACATTTCTTTCTTTAACATTTTGCTTGAGGATCGGTCCCTTCAGCTGGAGGTGGGAGATTTGGCAGGGGAGAGTAGGGTGGTGAGTGAGGGGAAATGGCAGGAGAGGGCATTGCAATGATGATAGGCATGAGAATGTATGGTGGGAGACAGCCTGGATAAAACCCAAAAGTTGCCCATTGGGAAGGTTGAATGGAGTCTCTAAGAGCTAGAAGGCTAGCTCAAGACTTAATGGGCCATCAGTGTATCAAGTGCAACTTTTTTTAAAAAAAGAACTCAGCAGTCCAGGATTGCCTGTACAGGACAGGGACCAGCCAATGGAGGCAAGTCCAGTG